CTCATTCTCTCTCTCTCTCTCAAATAAATAAATAAAATTAAAAAAAAAAAAAAACACATTTTAAAAACATTTTAAAATGTTTTTGTGTGAATATATGTTTTCATTTCTCTTGGGTGTATATGTAGGAGTGGAATTGCTGGGTCATATGTTAACTTTGTGTTTAACTTTTAGAGGAACCGCCAATCTTATCTAAAGCAGCTGCACTATTTTACATTCTTTCCAGCAATGTATGCGGGTTCCAGTTTCTTTAGTTTCTTGGCAGCACTTAATATATATATTTTTATTATAAATATATATATAATATATATAATAAAAATACATATTTTTTATTATGGCCATTTTAGTGGGTGTGAAGTGGTATCTCATTATGGTTTTGGTTTGCATTTCCCTAACGACTAATACTGAGCACCTTTTCACGTGCTTATTGCTAGAGAAATCTTTGGAGAAAAGTCTGTTCATATCCTTTGACCTTTTTTTATTTGGTTGTCTTTTTATTGTGAGTTGCAAGAGTTCTTTATATATGCTGGATACAAGTCCATTATCAGTTATATTTCACAAACATTTTCTCCTGTTCTCTGAATTGCCTTCACTTTTCTTTCTTTTCTGGTTTTTTTTTTTTTTTTTGGTCTTCACTTTCTTGATGGTGTCTTTGAAGCACTAAAGGTTTAAATTTTGATGAAGTCCCAATTTATCTATTTTTTTGTTTGGTTGCTCATGCATTGGTGTTATTTAAGAAACCATTGTCCGTCCAAAGCAGTGAAGATTTACACCTCTGTTTTCTTCTGAGAATTTTGTAATTGTGCCTCTTACATTTAAGTCTTTGATCCATTTCAAGTTTGTATATGGCGTGAGGTAGGGATCCAACTTCATTCTTTTGTATGTTGATATTCAGTTGTTTCAGCACTGTTGTTAAAAAGAATATTCATTCCCCATTGGATTGTTTGGGGACTCTTGTAGCATATACATTTTAAAGTTAAAATTAATTGCTATGTGCTAAAAGTTTTTTGGAGAGTTTTTGAGGCATTTTTTTTTTTTTTTTTTAGATTTTATTTATTCATTTGAGAGAGAGAGGGAGAGAGCATGAGCAGGAGGAGGGGCCAAGGGAGAGGGAGAAGCAGACTCACCCCCTGAACAGGGAGCCTGACGCAGGGCTTGATCCCAGGACCCTGGGATCATGACCTGAGCCAAAGGCAGACACTTAACCAGCTGAGCCACCCAGGTGCCCCATTTTTGAAGCATTTCTTAAGACAAGTGGGACTATGTAGATTATTACAAGATAAATAGAGAAATTCTTAAAATGTACTTACTCAGATCTTTTTAATCCTTGGGTAGAATATTTACTGCTTTGGTTCATGTTCAAGTGACAATTCTTCCTTAAGTCTGGAACATTGGACTGTATCCTAAATTTTTTATGATACATATTTGAGCTAGGTTTCCTCTTTTTGAAATATAGCTTGTATCACTATTTACCTTCTGAATAGTTTTGAGAGAGTCTTACTGATTGCATGTTTAATTATTGAGGCACAATAGTTGTGAAAAATTTGATAGTCATTGGGTATATTTTTGGTGGGTTCATAAGGTATAATTCCTTAAGATTCTTTAAGATTGGTCAGTGATAAGTAAATTATCTTGAAGTGGTGTTGCCAATGCCAAGCTACCTATAATGAACCCTCTATGCCTTGTTACAAAAGTGAACAAAGGTATATGTTTATTCTGAGATTGTAGGGCTTTATAGTTTAATTCTTTAAAAAAAGAATATTATCACAGTATCTTTCATCAATATGAATATGGGCCACATTCTTCTGGTAGCAGTTGGAAATTAATTTTGGATAACCACAGTATTCAGCAACAATAAAGTGCAGATATCTCAGTAATTCACTAAGTGATACTATAAATGGTGTGTAGTACATTGATGGATGTATGTCTTAAACACAGTGTAGATGAATTTTACTCCTTACACAGGTCCTGAAGACAGCATTATTTGAGACATCCACAGAATATTAGATGCTGAAGAATGAGTTTGAGATTGGCTTGTTAGAGCAGTGAATATGTTTATATACAGTTTCCCTATGTTTTGTTTTCATGGCCTTTTAAAGAGGTGTATACATTGTCTCACATTTCTCACATTAATAGTAAAGGGAAAAAATAGTAACTTTAAATTGGAGAAACCTGGTAGATCACCTTGATTAAGTGATCAAAGTTAAAATCACCACTTGGCATCATGTACTTTGTAATAAGATACACTGAGAAGGACACAACTTAATTTCTGTGGTATTCTTGCCAAAAATGCATAAGCTGAGTCTAACTGTGATAAAACATCAAACAGACCCAAATTGAGGGCTGTTCTACAAAATAAGTGACCTGTATTAAAAAACATCAAGGTCAAGAAAGGCAATGACTGGGGCACATGGGTGGCTCAGTTGGTTAAGCGTCCAATTCTTGATTGTGGCTCAGGTCATGATCTCTGGGTCCTGAGATTCAGGATTCAGTCCCATGTTGGGCTCGGTGCTGAGCCTGGAGATTCTCTTCCTCTGCCCCTCCCCACCTGCTTGCGCATGTGCTCTCAAAAAAAAAAAAGGCAATGACTGAGGAATTTTGAGATTAAAGGAGACTAAAGAGACATAACTAAATGTAATGTGATCCTGGATTGGAGCCTGGATAGGAGGAAAAAAGGGTGTAAAGTACATTATTGGGACAGTTGTTGGAATATGAATATAATATATGGAGTTATAAGTTTCCTGATTTTGATATTTGCACTGTGATTAAAAGATTATTTTCTTAGGTACACATGAAGTGTTTATGGGTAGAGGAGAATGATGTCTCCAAATTATTCTCAACTGTGAAAAAAAAATTGTATGTGTATGCATAGACTTCTATATATATAGAGAGAGAAGATGATAAATCATATGGGACAAAATATAAACATGATGAATCTGAATAAAGGTTATGTGGGATTTCCTTGTGCTGTTCTTGGAACTATTTTATGTTTGAAATTATAATAAAAGTTACAAAAGTGTAAGAGTTAGTATTAAAATTCTTTAACTCAGTTCACATAGTTTCATTTATGTTTCTATGCTCCCTTGCAGAACAGCTTTTAAATAAAAATGCTTAATTATGCCTTCCAACCCTGGGATCCTTCAGATTCCAGAATATCTTGCATTAGGCTTAAAAGCAGTTGTTTTTTTGTTTTTTTTTTAAGATTTTATTTATTTATTTGAGAGAGAGAGAGAATGAGAGACAGAGAGCATGAAAGGGAAGAGGGTCAGAGGGAGAAGCAGACCCCCAGCTGAGCAGGGAGCCCGATGTGGGACTCGATCCCGGGACTCCAGGATCATGGCCTGAGCCGAAGGCAGTTGCTTAACCAACTGAGCCACCCAAGCGCCCCAAAAGCAGTTGTGTTTTGACATCAGTGGGACACCAAGGACAATTTCAGAGTTTAGGCAATTTGGTAGAAAAATGGAATAACTTTAAATTTCTACCTTAATAGTATGGTTTCAAAGTGTTTTTTGAAGAACTGTAAATTTAAAAATATCAGACACAGCCATGTTTCGATGAAGACATTCCCCAAATCTGTTGCCAGATAGACATTTTAAGAAGTATTCTGTTTTTATGTGCTTTATTAGTGTGAATTAGAGAATAGCTCTAATTACTGCCTGGCTCGTGAAATAGCTGGGAGTTAGGCTTGTATTATTTGTGGTTCAAACCTAAAATTCAACTTGTTAGTGTATGTGAAGCCTCTAATATACTTTTTTCCTTTAAAATAAGTATTTTTCTGACTTAGAAAGTATTATTTGCCCATTGTAAAAAAACAAAACCTTGAAAACTTTGTACAAAGAAGAAAACAAAATTACTCATAATTATACATTCCAGAAGTAACTGCTTTAAGAGTATTTCTTTTGTGTAATTTAAAAAATATATAATTGGCATTATGCTTGTATACAATTTGACCATGCTTCCTTCATGTAACATGTCATGCACATCTTCCCACATCATTAAAAATTCTTTGATCTTATTATGTTTAAACGTTAATAATATTCCATCATATGATGTACCACAATTTATTTAATTATTTGCTTCTTTCTTTGAGATACTAATTTGGAAGGCAAGTAACTAACTCATTCTGGTTACAGTATGGAAGATAAAGAAAAGTGAATATTTTAGGTAATACAGTTTACAAACAGAAGTAATTGGATCTGTTTTTATTGGCCCTTGATCACTGTTATCTTTTGAGAAGCATTAGTTAAAAAAGCTTTTAAGAGTCATGTTAACAATATTTTTTTATAGTAAAGAATAAATCTGAAAGTATGCTTTTTTGTATGTTAGCTAATCCTTAAACATTTGGAAAAGTTTTTTTAATATGTATGTACTTTATAGATATTTTGTCAAATTAAAAAATTGATAAAATTAAGGCTTCCATTTGGCAGATGTAAATTTAGGATTTCAAGGTTATATATTTTACTTCAAAAATATGTAAGATAAATCATACAAATACAAAATTTCAGTCTTTAGACATTCTGTTTTTAGAGTGAGTAGCAGATTCAGGGGAATAAACATTGCTTTTAAAGTTAGGAATTATAATAATATATTTTTGGTTACAAAGAGCTAAAGTGATCTTTTAGGTAAATTCTTGAAATTAGTGATTACCTTACATTAAAATGCTATTGTGTAGAATTGTTTAACTATTTGACCAGAAAACACATTTGATTAGTTGCAAATTTTCCCTTTTTTTGATTTGAGTCTTTATAGTTCTCCAACTTAGAAAGTTGGAGACAACTGGAACAAAGCAGGTGCTTTTAAGTGTATGTATAAGTGATTGTATATTGAGTAAGTTATACCTTCTCTGGTGCTGTAAAGTCATAATGATCTAGGTATGTGGTGGTGTCTCAAACTTCAGAAATGAATACCTGAAATACTTATATATTGCATTCATCTGGAAGGAATCTATTAGTAGGCCCACTCAAAGGATTGTTAACATCTTCTATAATTTCATGTTTTGGCAGGTAAACCTAGCCTTTAAGCAACCTGGAAAGAGGCTAGAGCACCAAGGAATTAGAATTGAATTTGTAGGTCAAATTGGTGAGTTTTAAAATAGTATTACTTTTTTTTTTTTTTTTAAATGATAACTGAGTTTGAAGAGGGTTGGATTTGGCACTTAAATTCTTGAATTACAAATTAGTTTTGTGGAAGGAAGGAATTGATTTTGCATAATAAAGGAGAGGATTTATTTTATAAACACTAAATCATGTTTCTTTGAATTGTGTTAAATACTTGACTCATCCTGCCTTTGTTATTAAACTTAATTACTAAAAATGAGAGGAGTTATATAAGTTACCAGCCTTGAAAAATAATTCGAGTAAATTAGTTGACTCACTGAAATTTCCATCTGCCTACATTTTTCACCAGCTTTACAATTACCAGTGTCACCTTCATCCTTCACTTTCTAATTACCCATACCATTTGTCTTCCTAACCTAGTGTGTGCCTGTAGCCAGACTCACCTGTCAGAAAATTCCATGGGAAAAGGAAAGGTGTAATTTCTTCTTGATGTAGATCAGCTTGTGTACATTTCCACACATGTATTTCAGAGGCATTCTTGGTTTAGTAGGAGTTAAACTGTATAAATCTTTTGGTATGGCAGATTGAAAAAGAGAAAAGAAAATGGATCTTTCTATTACAGTATACATAGCTAGGTTTTAAATCTAGCTTTCTAAGAGGTACTATACATGTTTAAAGTATCAAAATTGGAATTGGTAGATAGATATCTATTCCAGATGAGATTATACTTGAGGGGCAAGTTATAGTAATTCACTGATAGTTGGTAAGTCTTTTGTATATTATGGTTTTATCAAAGTAATATATTTGCCTAGCTAAAGCAAAACAATAAATGCTTTTTGCCTTGAAGGGAGGAAGTTCAAATAATTCCTGGAAATGTGTCTGTTAAAGCAGCTTCATTTTGGGCAAGCCCTAACTACATTAAAGGAATGAATACATCTTTTATAATAGAAATTTTCACTGTGCTGTGCAGTGAAATGGAGCATAATGAGGATAATGGAATTTGTATCATAGCTCTAGTATATTAAAGACAAATCCAACTAATTCTTTTGGTAAAAATTATTTGCTTTGGAGGTAGAAGTTTGGGTTTTAATGAAATAGATATTAAATGTAATTGGTCTTTTTTGCTTTTTAAAATTTTGTAGAACTTTTCAATGACAAGAGTAATACTCATGAATTTGTAAACCTAGTGAAAGAACTAGCCTTGCCTGGAGAATTAACTCAGAGCAGAAGTTATGATTTTGAATTTATGCAAGTTGAAAAGCCGTATGAATCTTACATCGGTGCCAATGTCCGCTTGAGGTATGAATATATATTAACAACCTGTAGGTGGTGTCAAAACCAGAAAGTAATGGCTACTTTCGAATGTCTTATTAGAATTTCTGATTATAATTCTGGACTGATAGACTTCAGATTTTTAAGAATTCTGCCAAATATTTTGTCTAGCTAATGTTCACCTGAGGTAATAAGAGCCTTCTATCGTAGATTTAGAGACTGCCATCATGAAAAGTTTTATTCATATAATTCCTTTGTATGAATCATCCCCTAGGTACTTCCTTTTGTCTTGTAAACAGAATTACCTCAAAATCCATTAGTTTCCCAGCAAATCTCATTTGGTATATGGTAAGAAGTGATAGAGATTGGGAGGGAAATCGGAGGGGGAGACGAACCATGAGAGACTATGGACTCTGAGAAGCAAACTGAGGGTTCTAGAGGGGAGGAGGGGTGGGGGGATGGGTTAGCCTGGTGATGGGTATTAAAGAGGGCATGTATTGAATGGAGCACTGGGTGTTATACGCAAACAATGAATCATGGAATACTACATCAAAAACTAATGATGTAATATATGGCGATTAACATAACATAATAAAATTTAAAAAAAAAGTGATAGAGATTTCCTCAGGAAGGCATGGCCATAGCACTTCAAATGCATCTAAAAAGTATGTACACTCTTCTTAAAATTACACTTTGTATTTTTTTTTTTTTTTGGTGGTGGGGGCATTTAAAGATTAGAACTCTTTCATGAAGTAAGTTGATCCCAAAGGATCAGTAAGGAGAAAGCTGAGTTGCAGTCAATGTTTGCTTATTTAAAACACTATAATTTATCATAGGAGATTTAACTTATCTCTCTGTTGGCTTTGTAGGTATTTTCTTAAAGTGACAATAGTAAGAAGACTGACAGATTTGATAAAAGAATATGATCTTATTGTTCACCAGCTTGCCACATATCCTGATGTTAACAACTCCATTAAGATGGAAGTGGGCATTGAAGATTGTCTACACATAGAATTTGAATATAATAAATCAAAGTAAGTACCTTTAACAACAGATAACTTAAATGTTCAGGGAAAATTTAAGAAATAAGCTTTTCGGGTCTTTGTAAATTGGTCACAGTAGGGATAGAATTGACATTAATTTGATGTAAACAGCCCAACAAAATCTCTGAGCGGAAGGACTATCTTCTTGACTCAGCGTAGGTGTCTTTCATATTCAGTTCCTATTAAGTCTCTTCTTGGTCATTTTTTGTAGAGGATCTTACCATCTCAGAAGGCAACTAATCCCTTCTGTCTGTAAAAATTTTCTTTACTGGGTTGGTATAATTTTAGCCTAGTCATTTCTTTAAAACTAAACAAAAATGCTTTTTCCTGCCTACATAAGCAGTACATTTTCATTATTGAAAATTTTGGCAGTGTAGGGGCGCCTGGGTGGCTCAGTTGGTTAAGCGTCTGCCTTCAGCTCACGTCATGATCCCAGAGTCCTGGTATCGAGCCCCGTGTCCAGCTCCCTGATCAGCAGGGAGCCTGCTTCTCCCTCTCCTTTCCACTTGTGTTTTATCTCTGTCTCTCTCTCTCTCTCAAATAAATAAATAAAATCTTAAAAAAATAAAAAAAATTTTGGCAATGTAAAAGATCACATTTTTAATTTTATTATTTTTTATTAATTTTACCACTTTATCACAATAGCTCTTGCATATCTTTTCACAAGAGAGGGAAAGGTATATATTATGTTTATATATGTTGTATTTTTACAGAAACAGGCTCCTGTTTTGTTTATTGTTTAATACCTTTTTAAACTTTATTATGGAAGAATTCAAGCATAGACCAAAGTGTACGAGCAGTACAGTGAATCCTCAAGTAGCCAGCGCCCAGCTCCAGTACTTGTCAGTATACGGTCAGATCTGTTTTATCTGGATCCAGCCCCCACACTCCCAACAGATTATACTGAAGCCAATTCCAGACACAGAATTTCATCCATAAAAATTGTGTATTGTATTAAATATAATACTGTTATATCTAAAAATATTAATAATTTCTTAATATCTGTACATATCCAGTCAATGTTCACATTTCCCTGATTATCTCATAAAATGTCTTTTTTCCCCTACATGGTTTATTCACATCAGTATCCAAACAAGATTTGTTCAAATCCGGGGCATCTGGACACACTGCATTTGGTTGTTTGACTCTTAAATTTCTTTTAATTTATTGTAAGTTTCCCCCCTATTTTTTTCCCCACTAAAGTTTATTTGTTGAAGAAATGGATGTATATTATTCTTTTATCCCCTTCCTGTGTATTCTTCTGTTACATGACTTTTATTAGTTGTCACTCACCAATTTATGTTACTAAAAATGTGATATAAACATGCCTTCAGAGTCTTAAATTATATTGTTAATAAAATTATCAAATTGTTTAGGACCTATAACCTTGTCACTGGAAGCCTCCCTTCAGGCCAGCATAATTACATTGATCAACTCCTGGGATATTATTTTGAGATTCAAACCTAGGAGAAGGTTGAAAAGCCCTCCGGGGATTGTAGTAATTTCCAGATTTATTAGCACGTCATTCCAGAGTAATTGGGAAAGGACTTTGATGACTAGATATCATAGCAACAAACTCAGCCTGTGGAATGTGTCTTTGTGGGTAAGTGCTTTGTTAGCTGCACTACTCTAGCACTTAGAGTAATAAGGACACTAAACTCTTGTGTAGAGTTTTAATGTTTAGAAACATCTTTATACACCAAATAAATATTGCAAGCATAACAATCTTAATTTTCTCTGCTTAAGTTCTTCGGAATCTAACCTCTAAGTAAAGGACCCACAGTTAATCAGGCTAATTCTTCCCTTTAAGGTGTATTGATGGTCAAGTTAAAGCTTGATTCCTATTTTTATAGCAAAATGGTGAGTACTTTTTTGAAAAAAAAAGAACATTAAATAATCTGAATAGCCAAAATGGTATTTTTAAAAAAGATTTTATTTATTTATTTGAGAGACAGAGAGCACAAGTGGAGGGAGGGACAGAGGGAGAGGAGCAGACTCCCCGCTGAATGGGGAGCCAGACACAGGGCTCGATCCCAGGACCCTGAGATCATAACCTGAGCTGAAGGCAGATGCTTAACCAACTGAGCCACCCAGTGCCCCCAAAATGGTATTCTTAAATAGTTACTGTCATAAGGATGTCTGACATAAAGATGTCTACTAAAGCCTTTCAGGACATATTTCACTCTTTTTTAAAAAATATTTATTTATTTATTTTAGAGACAGATGAGAGAGAGAGAGAGTGAGAATGAGTGGGAGGGGCAGAGGGAGAGGAAGAGAGAATCCAAAGCAGACTCCACACTGAGCATAGAGCCTGACATGGGGCTCAGTCTCACAACAGAGATTGAGACCTGAGTCGAATCCAAGTCAGACACTTAACCAGCTGCACCTCTCAGGTGCCCCTTTTTGATTGTTTTTTTAAACTGATACTTGGTAAATGAGGTATGTTCTTTCCCCAAAGGTATCATCTAAAGGATGTGATTGTTGGAAAAATTTACTTTTTATTAGTAAGAATAAAAATCCAACATATGGAGTTGCAACTGATCAAAAAAGAGATCACAGGAATTGGTAAGTTAAAAAGAGTATTTGAATTAAAATTCCTGTTTTAAAAAATTTTTAAATCTTAAAATACTGTTTAGATATACAATAATATACATATTGGATACTAACTTTGATACTTAATATTGCTTAATGTTTGTGCTTTTTTAAAAATTAATCTTTGAATAGGTTATACATTCACATGGTTCAAAAACAAAGTGTAAAAGACTATATGGTAAAAAGTGTCCTATTTGTGTACTCCAGCTACTCATAGGTCATATGTTTATAAGTTTTAAAATGCTTCTTGATATTTATACATATACAGTAACTACTTTTATATTATACCCTTTGCCCTGCTTTTAAGTTAAATGTTTATGTACAATATATATTTTGCTTTTTCACTTAATATATCTTAGAGATCTTTCCATATCAATGTGTAGAGTACTTCCTCATCTTTTTTATAGTATTCCTTTCTATGGATATACTAGAATTTAACCAGTCTGGTCCAGGTTGTTTCCAGTCACTTGCTATTCCAAACAGTGCTAAACTTAATAATGTCATTTTGCATGTGTGCAGGTATGTGTGGGAGATAAAAATCTTAAAAGTAGAATTGTTATTTCAAAGAGTATATTCATTTGTAATTTTGATACATATCAGTTTATCCTCTTTAGGGGTTGTATCAATTTGTATTATTACCATCAAGGAATGTAGAAGAATGCCTTTTTCCTCTTATTCTTTTTTTTTTTTTTTAAGATTTTATTTATTTATTTGAGTGAGCTAGAGAGAGAGTATGAGGAGGGGAATGGGGCAGAGGGAGAGGGAGAAGCAGACTCCCCACTGAGCAGAGAGCCTGACAGGGACCCTGGGATCATGACCTGAGCCGAAGGCAGAGGCTTAACTGACTGAGATACCCAGTTGCCCCTTTTCCTCCTATTCTTACCGATACAACATTAGAAAATTTTTAGCTGATCTGATGAGTAGGGAGAGAAAGTTCCTCGCTGTAGTTTTAGTTTTTTCGTTCTGAATGAGGGTAAGCATCTTTTCATGTGTATAAAAGCTATTTGTATTTCTTTTCTATATATACTGCATATCTATATCCTGTGTTCCATCTCTTTTGGATTATTAGTCTTTTCTTACTGATTTGTAGAAACTCTTTATATATTAGGGAAATCAATTCCTTTTTCTGAATTAAAAGCAGCAAAAGGGGCACCTGGGTGACTCAGTTGATTAAGCATCTGCCTTCAGCTCAGGTCATGATCCAGGGGTCCTGGGATTGAGCCCTGTGTTGGGCTCCCTGCTCAGCAGGGAGCCTGCTTTTCCCTCTCCCTCTGCTGCTCCCCCTGCTTATGCTCTCTTGCTCGCTTTCTCTGTCAAATAAATAAATAAAATCTTTATAAATGAATGAATGAATGAATGCAGCAAAAATTTCCCTAGTTTGTCTTGCTAATGATGGCTTTTGCCATGTAGTTCTTTTTGTGTAGTCAAATTTACCAGTTTTTCCTTTTATAGACTCTAGGTTTTGTGCCAGAGAAAGGCCTTTTTCACACTGATGTTCTAAAAGTAATTTTCTGTGCTTGATTCTCCTAAAATAATATAATCTGGGGATTTTGTTTAAATTTTTAATTTCTTTGGAATTTGTCTTGATATGGATTCAACTTTAGTTTTTTCCAGATGGCTGACCAGTTGCTCCAGAATTATTTATAATTACTTTTTAATTTTAATTAGTGTATAGATTTAATTTGTCCCATTTGTTGGATTTTTGCTGAAAATAATTTTAGGCAACACTCTTTAAGAATTTATAATTGGAATCATAATTACAATCATCTGTGATTTCTTAATCTCCATTTTCACCTGCTAATAAAAGTTTTAAGGGATTTAAAGATATTAAAATCAAACGTCAGGTTCCTTTTTCTTGTTTAAAAGAAATTAAACATTTTTTCTGGTTAAAAATTGGCTGATTCTAGAAAAGTTTAAATAAAAAATAATCTGTACTCATCATTCAGAACAGAGTTTAGTTGTCTTTGCATATTATATGTTATACAGCATTGGGATCATTAATGTATGTTTTGATACACTTTTTTCATTTATCATATTATTGACTTTTTACAGATGTCTGGGGTCAAATAATCTCTTAGAAGATGAACACCCAAACTTAAAAGAACTATGTCAATCAAGTACTCAGTTTGATGTTTTCTCCAAGTTAGAGTTAACTAACTCTGAAAGAAGACAGTTTGGATGTTGCAGAGAAAACTAGCATGACAGTGGTTATTTCTTATGTGTCTAGTTTCCATTTTAGTAGATACTAGAAATGATAGAAGGAACTCTATGGAGAAGATTCTTTCTGAACTATATATATGGTAAGAAGAGAGTGAAACATTCAGTGAAGTGATAAGTATGTTAAGTGTAGATCAAGAAATAGAAAAGAATGATTTTCACAAAATGGGAAGATAAATTAGTACTAAAATAATGTAGTTGGAAAATAAGATACAAGGTTGGAAATTATATTCTGGAAATATTTAACTTAATGTCACTTACATTATTTTTTTAATGTCGTTTACATTATTGTGCTAGGACCCAGTACCACCACAGAAACAGAAACAATTGCTAAATATGAAATAATGGATGGTGCACCAGTAAAAGGTAACATACTTTTCATTTACTTCTTTTGTGTGATAGGTAGTACAAACAGCAGTGTTCATGGCAGTTTAGTTTGAAAGTATTTATGCAGTGTAAAAGTATTTGTGAATTCTTAAGTGATTCTGATAATGATGTTTTTAAGATCGTCTTTGTATAGATAGTGAAAGACTGTAATAGTACTTCCTAGTCTGAAGTAAAGTTTAATTTTTTATGCAGTTTAAATTTTAGTATTTAGGGGTGCATGGGTGGCTCAGTTGGTTAAGCCTCTGTCTCTTGATCTCAGCTCAGGTCTTGATCTCAGGGTTGTGAGTTCAAGGCTGGCGCTGGGCTCCATGCTGGGTGTGGAGCCTACTTAAAAAAAAAAAGAAAAACTTTAATTTAGTATTTAGAAGAGACATTTATATATTATCTCTTACCTAGTTCTGAATTTGTAATATTTTGATTGTCTTCTGTTATGATAGTTTATCTCGGTAAGTCTTTTTTACTCATGCTGAATATAAGGTGCTGTATAGCTAAGCATTAATGTCTGTGGGATTCTGTAATCCTTATAGCCCCCAAGAAAACAAGCAGTTCCATTATTATCTTCCGTATCCAAGATAATAAAGCCAGTATTTTTAATTTTACTTTTTTAAAGATTTTTAATTTTTTTTGAGTAATCTCTATACCCAACAAGGGTCTCGAATTTACAACCCTGAGATCAAGAGTCACATGCTCAGGACTCCTGGGTGGCTCAGTCAGTTAGTGTCTGCCTTCGGCTCAAGTCATGATCCCAGGGTTCCAGGATCCAGACTGACGTCAGGCTCTCTGCTCAGTGGGGAGCCTGCTTCCTCTCTCTCTGCCTGCCACTCTCCCTGTTTGTGTTCTCTGTCTCCCTCGTCAAATAAATAAATAAAATCTTAAAAAAAAAAAAAAAAAGTCACATGTTCTGCTTACTGAGCCAGCCAGTGCCTCAGTATTTATCATTTTACATCTACATCTTTGGCTTTTTCTCATTCGGTTAGTAATTATTTCAAAAAGTAGCTATCATTTACTGAGTGCCAACTATAGATGAGGCATTGTACTCTGAGGTGCTCCAATGTTTCCTTTGAGTTAGGTGATGGTATCTTATTCTACAGATTAAACTGAGATACAAAGAGGTTAAAAAACTTGTTAAAGGTAAAGTGTAGGGGAGGCAGAACTTTACCCATCTTAGATTTTCAGCTGGGACTCTCAAAAGGACAGATTAATAAAGGAAAAAAAGTTTATTAATGTGTGCAGTGCACATCATGCAGGAAAAACCTCAACAAAAAATAACTCAAAACAGTGGCTTAGAATTTCAGCATATATAGCATCTTCAAAAGAACAATAAATTTCAAGATCTAACTGGACAAAGGAAAGTAGCTGCAGGCTTCTCCAGGGGTGTGGCAAGCTGTGTGAAGGTAAATAAATCTAAGGGAGGAAACAAATGGAGTAAGGTTTGTTTGCTGATTCCTGATCAGCCATCCCTGGGCTGAGACTGTCTTCATTAAAGGGAGAAGTTACAGCCTGCCTTTAGGCAGAAAATGGGGAGGCTTTTCTGCTCTTTGCTGCTTCGTAATTGCCTTCAGCTCAAAATAATTTTTATGTCAAAGAGGCAGATTTGTGGTGACATAATCTGGTTTCCTTTAATAGCTAATCATTGCAGAATTGGATTTGAGCCCAGGTCTTTCTAAATTCAAGACGTGTGTGTGTGTGTACACACTCCCGTTAGGCAACATTACTTTGTAAAATTTCAGCAGCCACAAAGTTTTATGTAAAGTAATGGATCATATATCTTTTAGGAAATGGATGTGCACAAGAAAAGTATTACATATAAAAGATTCAAAACAGAATATGCAAATCGTTACCCTTAGGAAAGAAACCACGAGAATCTTTTTGGTAACGAAGGAATAATCATCATTAGAAACATGTTTGTTGCTTTGGATGAATTAGTTAATAAGTATTGAAGAACTTATACACATGATTAGAAATTATGGTAAACTTCATGGAAAGAATAACAGAACTACTAAAACAGCACTTACCTGCTGGCACTATTCTAAGCTTTTTACATATATTGACTCATATAGTCCTTACAAATCTCTACAAGATGGATATTATAGCTATTTTCCATTGCACAGATAAGGAACTTGAAACAGAATGGTTAAGTGATTTGGCCAAGGTCACATGGCCAGTAAGTTGTAGAGTTGGCATCTGAATCCAGGCATTCTGACTGTAGAGCAGTGGTTCTCATCTAGGGGCCGTTTTGCTCCACCACCACCCCCTGGACATTTGTTGTGGCTTGGAGTTATTTTTGGTTGCCACACTTGGGGAATGCTGCTGATATCTAGTGAACAGAACTTAACCACAACGAAGAATTATCGGGCCCCAAATGGCAGTAGTGCTAAGGCTAAGAAACCCTGGTCTAAAGTTTTCGTTATGGGGCGCCTGGGTGGCTCAGTTGGTTAAGTGTCCACGTTCGGCTCAGGTCACGATCCCAAGGTTCCGGGATGGAGCCACGCATCTATCTGGCTTATTGCTCAGCGGGGAACCTGCTTCTCCCTCTGCCTGCAGCTCCCCTTGCTTGTGCTCACTCTCTCTCTCTTTCTCTGACAAATAAATAAAAGCTCTAAAAAAAAAATTTTTTTTTTAAATAAGGTTTTTGTTAGGCTGCCATCTCATGAAGAACTAAACTGTTAGTGTCTTCTCTATAATGCTTAGTTCTAGGTGTTATGTGACCATATTTTCATCTTTAGAATTAAATGGAAATTGTTTTTCTTTCAGGTGAATCAATTCCAATAAGACTGTTTTTAGCGGGATATGACCCAACTCCAACAATGAGAGATGTGAACAAAAAATTTTCAGTAAGGTACTTTTTGAATCTAGTCCTTGTTGATGAGGAAGACAGAAGGTACTTCAAGCAGCAGGTATGGTGCCACCAAGGCTGATGTTTTGTTCTATGGCAGTTCTAAAAACACCTGGAAAGCACTCACTTTTCTAAGCTTTACAGTACTGAGCAAGTGGGAGTTTCTATGATAAGGAATTTAGGTGTGAATGGAATAGTGTCGTGATAGATCTCTTCAGAAGCAGGACCCCAGAATGGGCTGTAATTTGGCAGAGCTTTTATTTTTCTTTTGAAAGTTTTGGGTTTTTTTAATAAAAATAATACCTACTGTTTGTTAAAAAAAATTAGGCAATAAAGAACAAGTTAACAAAAATTCCACCATCATTGTGAGTAGTTTTCCAGACAAACTTGTATATGTGTATTTAGATCATATGTGTGTTGTTCTTTAATTTGCTTTTTCATTCAGTAGTGTCTTGAATATCTTTCCTTTATCAACAGATGTAGATTTTCGTTATCACTTTGAATGATTTCATTAATTTGATGGATTCTGGTTTTCCATTCTGTTGTAAATTTACCTGAGATGACCCAAATCTAAAATTTTTTTTTTTTTTTAAGATTTTATTTATTTATTTGACAGAGACAGAGACAGCGAGAGCAGGAACACAAGCAGGGGGAGTGGGAGAGGGAGAAGCAGGCCTCCCGCCGAGCCGGGAGCCCGATGCGGGACTCGATCCCAGGACCCCGGGATCATGACCTGAGCCGAAGGCAGTTGCTTAACCAACTGAGCCACCCAGGCGCCCTAATACTTTTTTTTATATAAAATGTTTATCATAAAACTAGTTCTCATTTGAAAATCAAAAGCCTTTGGTGAATTTTCAGTGAAGATTGTGATTGGAATGGTCTTTTATATTATGAACCAGATTAATAAATATTTGAATGTCAGTTGAGTACTCAAAACTAAATTAGAAATTATTCTGCACTAAGTATTGTGAAGAATATAAAATCTACCTTTTATAAACATAGCTTGTCTTCAAGGTTCTCACATTGCATATGTGTGGAAAGAGAAAAATTATAAAAAGCTAATTAACAGAAAACTTAAATTCTAGTTCGACCATAATTTAGAAGAGAGAAAACCTTTTCTTTTGATATTGCCATAATGCTGTAAGATTAAAAATAGGTAATTTGTGGGCACCTGGGTGGCTCATTCGTTAAGCGTCTGCCTTCGGCTCAGGTCATGATCCCAGGGTCCTGGGATCAAGCCCCACATCGGGCTCCCTGCTCAGCAGGAAGCCTGCTTCTCCCTCTCCCACTCCCTCTGCTTGTGATCCCTCTCTGGCTATGTCTCTCTCTGTCAAATAAATAAATAAAATCTTAAAAAAAAAAAAAAAGGTAATTTGTAACTCAAGATAGATTATATAGGGGCACCTGGGTGGCTCCGTTAAGTGTCTTGACTCTTGATTTCAGCTCAGGTCATGATCTCAGGGTCGTGAGATCGAACCCCACATTGGGCTCTGCTCTGGGTGTAGAGCCTGCTTGGGATTCTCTCTCTTCCTCTCCCTCGGCCCCTCCCCCCTCTTAAAAAAAAAGATTATATAAACTTTACAGTTTCCAAATCAGTTACATATTGTAGCCTATTGAATGAATACGTTGCTTCCCACGGCATTCATTTGGCTGTTTGGTAACCAACATAAACAGCCTGTCATGACTTTACAGAGCAAATTTAGGATTTTTTTTTTTTTTTTAAATTTTAGGAATTTAAAAGATCTCAGGATGGATTGGTTGGAACAAGATTTGGATAGGTAGAGGAATAAGTATTTGAAAAAAATATATAGGAGAAATTGTAGGGTGGGTTTATTTGGAGTGCATTGGGAGGAGAGCGTTAACTGTTTGGCTGGTGGGGGAACAGAGTGATGTTGGTAAATTGGATAAAGGTTATGAAGGACCTTGAATGCCTGGTCTGAGATTTATCCTAGAGGCACTGAGAACTACCGAAGTGCGGTTGAAGCAGTGTTTTAGCCAAATCGGGTAGTGATTGGAAGGGTGGGTTAGAAAGGAGCCTCAGGCACTGGAGGCCAAGCTGTCTACCAAGAAGCTCTTAGTGTCGGAGGTTGAAGTTACAGAGGTTTGAACTTGGCTAAGGGCAAAATAGCAAACCAAGGACAGATTTTAGGAATTCTTGAAATCAGTAATAGCTAGAATCTTGTGCCACATTGGATTGGCAGTGGTGGTGTACATAGGTGCTTATGAGAGGGAAGCAGGGCTGGCAGAAGGGGTGGTCCAAGATTAGAACTGGAAGAAAGTAGGTCACTCAGCAAAGAGAACAGCTTTTGTTGGGAAGAATCTAATTTTGTTATAGTTAAAATTGAAGTGGCATTATTTCCATGGTGAAGATTTAAGGCATAATATGAGAATGTTAATTTGTTGATGTCTTGCATATGTTTTACCAGGAGATCATTTTATGGAGAAAAGCTCCTGAAAAATTGAGGAAACAGAGAACAAACTTTCACCAGCGATTTGAATCACCAGAATCACAGGCATCTGCTGAACAGCCTGAAATGTGAACTGAATAGGAGAAAAAAAGAAAAACAAAAAACTCCTATATCCATTGAGATTAAGTTCAGCAGGTTAAAGATGGTTGCAGCTTGTAGTGGGGGAAAAGGCCAAAACTCCATTTATAATAGTCTTCCTTTATCTTACAGTGCTGCATTTATTTTATGATACAACTAAATGTTCTTCATGTATATACATTAAAAAAAGCGCTTTCTTTGAAACACTGGAACTTTCTTAAGCTGCCGTTTTTTCTTTCTTGTATTTTTTTTTTTTACTGCACACTTTGACCTGATAATAAGCACTCAGATATGCATAAACATAAACATTAAAGATTTTCATGTGAGTAGGCTGGTATTTGTAATTTTGCTTTTCTTAGTAATGTTGATTATAAATACTTTTCTCCTTTTTCATGCTAATTGCCTCTTATTCTCTACATGCAAAAAATTAAGTATTTCGTGTTCAAATAAAAAAAGAAAAATTGAATGGGCCTTAAATCCTACAAAGATTTAAAACATGGCATCTCAATATTTTTGAGGAATACATACTGTTTCTACATGTGTGTTTGAGAAATACCTATGGAGTGTTTCACTGTAGGTGCTTTTGATTCCACCATTCCATGGCTTCCTGAATTGTATCCTCTTTGAAGTCTTCTGTTTTGTGAATGTTAAAATTTTTCCCCGAGATTATGTGGCATGTCACCGTGGCCTGCTTGCTTGCCCCTTCCTTTCTTCTTTCCTTCCTTCCTCCTTGCCTTCCTCCCTCCCTCCCTCCTTCTCTTCCTTTTCTCTTTCTTTCATTCATTCTTTTCTTTCTTTCTTTTTTGCCATATTAAGTAACTATTTTGCTATTACTATTCAGCAGGTACCACTGTATGTTTTCTGCAATGTAGAGTTGACTCTGTTGGCATTTTCGAATTTGTTAAAACTATATCATTTTTCTGTAACTACTTTGAATTTTTTTTTTTTTTAATTTAAGACATCTTTTTACCACATACATGAAATTATAATTTTGTTGCCTTCACAAATACTCTCTTCCCTTTCCAGGGGAAAGTTTGAGGATGGGGAACTCAGGAGGACCTGTGAAGCATGTAGTTATCTAGATCTGGACAATTTCATGTTTGTTAAACTGGAACTTTGGGTAGTTCAAACTCAAATGTAATTTCACCCACTCTGTTTAAATTTTGTTAACACTAAATTCAAGCCATTTGTTCAAAGTTGTAAAAAGAAGGTTTTAGTCATCTGTTCATATGCATGGGGTCTGATCTCAGATACACTAAATGTGGAGTGTAGGAACTAAAATGAAGCCTGCTGTGTGAAACTACTTTCACTTAGGGTTCACTGGTTTTTGTACCAATATTTTTTTATACACTTCAGCGCAAGTCTTGTCAGTTAACCTTACTTTATGAGTAAGCTAAGTAACCCAAATTACATTTCTCTAAACCTGTTTACTACTATGGCACTTTGATAAAATGGTCAGTAACCAACTTCTTTACTGGCAAAAGGTTCCATGTACCATGTGCTGGAGCATCTATTTTAAATGTGGCTATCTGTGAATGGTAATGTTTTCCTTCATGTAAGTGCCTGTTCAGAGTTTCAAAATTTAAAGATGCCAGATATTTTCATGGTCACTTGCATGTAGTAATCTAGAAAATATTCGAAGAAATTTTGAAAACAATTATATTTAACCAGCCTCAAATTGTGCAACCATGATGTATAATAAAGAATTTGAAATGATACTGAGCTTGCTATTTGAATGATTAAAATGTTCTATTCTCAAATCTCACTGTCATATTTATTCATTGAGGACAGGATTGCTCATAGTTTAGGAAGCTATATTTGTTACAAGAAGTTTTTATAAATATTAGTTTTAATTTCAAATAGTTATATAATGCTTTTAATTAGGTGGCTTAAAACAAACACATAAATAGGATGCTTATTCACTTAATTGTTGCATAACCAATTTGAAGAATAAAAATTTGAAATCAATATTTGGTGAATTGGGTAAAAATTTGGCCAGTTAACTAGAAATAAACTGAAAAAAATTTGTGCTTTTAGTAAGTACAGAGGCTCAGTTAGTAGAGCGTGTGACTTTTTTTAATCATTTATTTGAGAGAGAGCGTGAGTGAGCAGGGTGAGGGGTAGAGGGAAAGAGAATCCTCAAGCAGACTCCCCGCCGACCATGGAGCCCAACCTAGGAACCCTGAGATCATGACCGGAGCCAAAATCAAGAGTCAGCCGCTCAACTGACTGAGCCACCCAGGCACCCTGAGCATGTGACTCTTGATCTCAGGGTAGTGAGTTCAAGCCCCATGTTGGGTGCAGAGATTACTTAAATTAATTTTTTAAAATGCAATATCCAGTGGTTCTCAACCCTGGCTGCGTGTTCAAATCAGTTTAGCTTTTTAAAATAACCATGTTGGGGCGCCTGGGTGGCTCAGTTGGTTAAGCGACTGCCTTCGGCTCAGGTCATGATCCTGGAGTTCCGGGATCGAGTCCCACATCGGGCTCCCTGCTTCTTTCTCTGACCCTCCTCCCTCTCATGCTGTCTCTCATTCTCTCTCTCACAAATAAATAAAAAAAAATCTAAAATAACCATGTTGGGTCCTACCCAGACCATAAAATCAGAATTTCAGGGGTCAGGGTCTCAGTGTTAAAAAAAACATCCAGGGTTGAGAACCACTGTCTAAACCATGTAAATGGTTGTTTCCGTCACTAGCGAAGAGGTTTTTTTGTTGTTGTTTTTTTGGGGTTTTTTTGTAGTTTTGAACTTTAAAAAAAAAAAAATTATTTACTTTAGAGAACATGCAAGCAGGGGGAGAAGGAGAGAGAATCTCAAGCAGACTCCATGCTGAACTGGGAGCCGGATGCAGGGCTCCATCTCACGACCCTGAGATAATGACCTGAGCCAAAATCAAGAGTCGGATGTTTAACTGAGCCCAGGCGCCCCCTGAACTTTATTTTTTGAAGCAGAACTAAAAAAAATACAAGAGGGACACAGTTTAATCATTCTGAATTTCTGTTAGCAGAAGCTGATAGCAAGAACCTCATGAAATAAAATGAAGAGTCGGGGGGGGGCCATCTCCCTCTGCCCCTCTGCAAACCCCCTCCCCCCATGCTCCTCTCTAAAAATAAATCTTACAGGCAGGTGGGTGGTTCAGTTGGTTAAGCATCTGTCCAGCTCGGGTCATGATCCCAGGGTCCTGGGATCGAGTCCCACATCGGGCTCCCTGCTCAGTGGGGAGTCTGGTTCTCCCTGCCCCTCCTCCCTGCTCATGGCTCTCTCTCAAAAATATTTTTAAAAATTGAAAAAAATTAAAAATCTTTTTAAAAACATCAACAGGGTGCCTGGGTAGCTCAGTCAGTTAAGCGTCTGCCTTCAGCTCAGGTCATGATCTCAGGGTCCTGGGATCCAGCCGCACGTCAGGCTCCCTGCTCAGTGGGGACTTTGCTTCTCCCTCTCCCTCTGCCCCTACCTCCCCCTGCCCCACTTGTGCACTCTCTCTCAAAATCTTAAAAAAGAAAAACAAACCAGGAACAATCAAATCAGTTTTTAGAAAAACTAGAATTTTAGCAATTCTTAACCCTTCCGATCAGGCAGTCCTGGTCAGTTTACACCCTCTTAAGTTTTCTTTCAAGAATGATTGGTAAATTATCAACTACTTTCCCTACTCACACATTTCCTATCTACTTTACCTTTCAATTCTCAATTCTAAAGACCAAAAAGCATTAATTTGTCATACTTATGGTTTTTCAGTTATACGTAAACATGGAGGTTAACATCTAAAAGATGTTAATTCTAAACAAGCACCTAAATGAAGGTTTTTAGAGTTTGTAAATCCAGCACCCTGGGCTTTTAAAGAAACCACAGTGACAAATTACAGAAATCAAGAATCACAGTTCCTTTTAAATGTAATCATCAGATTAAAAACTAGAACACTTAGCCGATTCTACGTTAGGCTCTATTAAATTTGAGAAGCAGCTCCCAAAGGAGTTTTATTATTTTGAAATCATAAAAGGGGGAAAGTACATAATTAGAAATAAGTGGCTGGCAGGCACTGTTTTGAATTGTTGGGGAGGAAGAACTTTTCCTCTACTTTCTTAGATTCTGTGTTTGGGAGCGTGCTGATTAAACTGACAAAAGACAAGCAAGAGAAAAGACTGACTGAATGAGTATGAGGGAGTTCACAAAAATGAAACTTAAAGGGGTAGTTAGAATTTGGGACCTTATATATCATCTTGATAGGGGAAAGGGGGTGAAGGACACTTATACATGACTTCTTCATAGGGGAAGTTGGGGGTAGAAAGGGCACTTATGGGAAAACAAATGACTTAAGAAAGATAAATGGGCCCTTAGGAGAATTGACGGAAGATAAAATAGTTTTGTGACAAAGTCTGTTTAGGCGTGGTGCCAACTTTCACTGTACCTGGTGATGAGATCATCTTCCCTGGTTGCTCCCTGAGAGGGGATTTATGATAATTGAGTTCCTTTGGGAGGCTTGGCTTTGAGGCAGAGGATTTCAGGAACTCAAATGCCTTCTCCTCAAAATTCTTATGCCACAGTGGCATATTGCAGACTCCTTCATCAGTATGGATCAAGTAATTGGAATACTCAATCCTAAGTACTGGGTGAGTCAGTAACATCTTAATTTCATTCCTTTTGTGTTCAACGGAATCTGTTGAACAGACATAAAGGCACCAGGGGCTTCTACTAGCCTGAATTGGAATATAACATATTTTAAGTTTCAAATCAAAGGCATAATGAGGAAACTGTGCACCTTTTAATAGATCCTTTTTAAGGCTTCGGGCCTTCCATGAGCATAATTCCTAGTCACTCCCCTATCCAAAATCTTTAGTGACTCCATTCCAGGAGAAAGCTTAAACTCCATACTACATAACCGCTCCCGTTTTTCTAAGCCCCTTGGAGGATGACCGCTCTCCCGTCTGCACTCCAGCTAGCTTTTTGCAAGCTCTGCTGGCCGGTCTTGCCAGACACCATTTCCATCTCCAAGTCAAAGAGCTAGATGTTCTCTCTCGTGCTGTCAAGGCCTGCTGTGCACACCTCCGGGACTCTGCTCACCACACTTTTATAAAAGACTTTGATTTTATGGATTTTAAGCCTCTTGGCTCAGTCTTGTTTTAGTGTACTTTGTGCTTATGACATAATATACTTTCAATATCTGAATAAATTAGTGAACCTTATTTTCCTAGTGATTATAAAATTAGGTGTTCTCCTCTAGAAAAAAGTCTGATGAGGGACAGAAACAGAAAAATGTTCACTGTTAGCCCAGAAGCATGCCCTATAGCCTGCACAGTTTCAATAAGGGTCAAATATGCACTGGTTGCTACATTCTTAAAAGGTCTCATGACAGGGGCACCTTGGTGGCTCAGTTGGTTAAGCAACCGACCCTGGATTTCGGCTCAGGTCATGATCTCAGGGTCCTGGGATGGAGCCTAGTGTTGGGCTCCCTGCTTGGCAGGGAGCCTGCTTCCCCCTCTCCCACTCCCCCTGCTCACTCTCTCTCTTTGAATTAATAAATAAATCTTTATTTTTAAAAAATATTTATTTATTTGACAGAGCGAGTGAGAGAGCACAAGCAGGGGGAGCAGTAGAAGGAGAGGGAGAAGCAGGCTCCCCGCCGAGCAGGGAGCCCCATGTGGGTGGGGCTCAATCGCAGGACCCCGGGATCATGATTTGAGCTGAAAGCAGATGCTTAACCATCTGAGCCACCCAGGTGCCCCAATAAATAAATCTTAAAAGTCTCGTGAGTGCCTGTACATCTCACTGAGTTAATATCGAGCTGAATGATAAGCACCAGAGAAATCTTATGGAAGTAGTTTTATGAGAAGAAATTTGAAGAAAACCCTTATGATCTAATGCCCCCTGCTCGTCCCGTCCCCCTTGAACACCAAGCATGTAACCACCACCAGCTTCATACAGCAAAAGTGCAGCACTTTCTGCCCAGGGGTCCTGTCCCTGTGCTACTGAAACTTACTAAGTTGCACCATAAAATGTCTCCAGAATTACTTCTTGACTGGCAAGCTCAGCGATGCCACAATTTTGGTGGTCTGTACAGGAATTATGAATGAATCCAAGAGCCCTGATGTGGCTTGGTAAGTCTTCTTTATCCCCGGTCTTTGTTTTTAACTTGTTCCTTTTCAGAGATGTCCTGAATAGTACAACCCTTTGGAACAGGTCTTGCTGAGTGCTCAGGAGAGAACCTTCTGCCCATGCCCAAACTACAGGGAGGGACAAACTCCTGCCACCTGGCTGGATGGACATCAGTACCTTGATCGTAATGGTGTTGGGCTCAGAAATCAGGCTCTTCCTGTTTTACCTGTTAATACTTGTATTCTTCTCAGGCATGGGACAGCCATTCATGGCATTTGGATGGCTGCCAATCTTAAGACTCCTGTGTAAGGTTTCTTCCTAAATAACCCAGTGTGATCCCTCAATGAGCATAAAGTCTAAGACATGTCTGACCGTTTTCTTCCTGAAAGGGACCGGAGCTATTACCCAGTTGGGGCACTCACCCAATGGGGGACCACTCCCTTGGGACTGGATCATGGATAAAGCTCACGAGAAAGTTGCCTGGATTAGACAGGGGTTCCACACTTTCATTTCTTCATGTCTCTCATTTGTCCTTACCCATGGGCAACAGTCCTGCTCTTAGAATGAAAGTACTTCTAGCTTAGATACATGACAATATGATATAAAATAGCTGTCCCTTCTTAACAAAGGCCAGGACCTCTACCCCATCCATTAATACTAGATCCAGAG